TAATAACAAAAAAATATAGATTTTATGAATGAATGAGTACTACTTGTTATAGAAAATTGTGGCTTAAAGTAGACAAAAAAAAATTATTATATATATTGTTGATAATAATCTAAAAAATTTTTCATTTATATAATATATATCTAACATAAATAATATTTTTTTTAAAATAATATATTACATAATGTTTTTATCTAATATACTGTAAAACTAGAAAAACATGATGTTTTTATTTATTTTTTTTTAAAAAAAAGTATCCAATATTTTATACATTAGTTAGTAAATATATATATACATATAGTTTATATACAATAGTAATATACCGGTAGTAATGTATATATATATATATAAATCTATTATAATATATCATATTTAATAGTAAARTAATAATAATAATAATTTTGTTGTTTGAAATAAATAAATAATATAAAATTTTGTAAATAAATTATAAGTAGTAGTCTATAATATAATATAATATAAACTTATATATTCAATATATATATATATATATATATATATATATATTATCATACAATGATATATTTTATTTTTGATTATTTTAATAATATATTTTTAAAAATAAATAAATATTTAACATTTATTTCGCAATTTCAATTTTGCAATCTATTGYTTATATAWATATTGTATTATATTTGCAAAAATATATTGTTATTTTCAAAATATTTTTTTAAAWAAATATATTACAAACATATCGAAAATATTATTTATTTAAAAAATTGTAATAAATATATATTAATAAATATTTTTTAWAAAATTTTAGAAAKTATTGATTTTTGTTGTGTAAGAAAATAATATACTATTTATATGTTATAAAACATGTTTTTTCAAAACAATTTATAATATTTTTTAAAATATATATATATATATATATATATAATATACTTATAATAATATTTATTAAAAAATGGTTTAACATTAAGAAATATAATATAGTAAACAACAACAACAAAAAAACAACAAAAAATATAATATAATATAATAATACTATTATTATTATTATTACAATAAAAAGCAATTACTAATACAGTAATAATATAATAGCAATTATTATCTACACACACACACATACACACACATACACACACATACACACACATACACACACATACACACACATACACACACATACACACACATACACACACATACACACACATACACACACATACACACACATACACACACATACACACACATACACACACACATACACACACATACACACACATACACACACATACACACACATACACACACATACACACACATACACACACATACACACACATACACACACATACACACACATACACACACATACACACACATACACACAAAAAACATATCCATGCAATTTGAGTGATAGATTATTTATTTATTGGTAGACTAAATGAAAATGGGATTATAGGATTATATATATAAGATTATTATATTATAGATATTATATATATATATATAAAGTATTATTATTATTATATATATATACCTTTTATCCAAGCATTTAATCCATTGCGATAACATAGCATTGATTTGCTTAACGTTTTATTATTATTATTATTATTATTATTATTATTATTATTTAGTGTTCAATTAAATACAAATTCAATATAAACTTATATAATACTGTTTTTTTGGTCAAATAGTTTATGTATTGTATTATTATTATTATTATTATTATTATTATTATTACAATATTATTAATTAAATACTAGTAATTGAATTGAATTTATTTCTATTTAATTAATTCAAATAAAATTATTATTATTATTGCTAAATATTTTATTATTAATATTAACTAAACTAAATAATATTATTATTAAAAAATATATAAAATAAAATTTTTCTGATTTTATTTATTTATTAATTAGATTGCCATTGATTTATGCAATGAAAATGCAACCAAACAAACAAACAAATAAATAAATAAATAAATAAATAATAAACTATGAAAATGTAATTTAATTATTGAAAAATAAAATTTTTATTATTTTTATTTATTTATTTATAGTTAGTTAGTTTAGTTAGTTTAGTTTTATTATGTATAAAAATATTTATCAACAAATTGCATTGCCAAACATTTTTGTTAGTTATTATTATTATTATTATTATTATTATTATTATTATTATTATTATTATTATTATTATTATTATTATTATTATTATTATTATTATTATTATTATTATTATTATTATTATTATTATTATTATTATAAATATTATATTTTTAGATGATTTATATATAACTTATTGATTTGTACTGAACTTTACACTTAAATTATATGATAAAATTGTTTTTGTTATTATTATTATTATTATTGCAATAATTATTTGATGCGAAACACTGTCACAAACATTAGTTAGTATTGATAATAATAATTATTAAAATAAATTACAAATATAATTATTTATGTATTGAAATATCAATCACGTTGTAAATGTATGACTAGAATAATAATAATAATTAGAAATAAATAAATAATTAAATAAATAAATTAAAAATAATTATTTTAAAAACATTAAATATATTGCAAACACTAAATAGCAATATATTCTTTACAGAATATTCTTTAAGTTTTATTTCCAACAAAAAATTTTTTTAAACATTTATTTTAATAAAAGTAGTTTTGTTTTGCAATTGAATTCATAAAAAAATAAAATTTATTTAAATATATAACACATTTATATATATATATTTATATAGTTAAAGTTGACTTATATATGATAATAATAATATTGACAACAAAATAATAATAATAACATTATATATATATATATATATTGCGTGAAACCCTATATTTTTATACACATATAAGTCATATGTACTGTATGTATGTCTGTGTCAGTTAGTGTATGGAAATAGACTGACTGACTGACTGACTGACTGACATACCCTACAGTCTCTCTCTCTCTTATACTATAACATACAAAATGCACTGTTAGCTTAATAGCACAGTTAGATTGAATATCTATATAAAGCTTATATATATGTAGCGCACATATACGGTATAGAAGCGCATGAATTCCTTTATACAGTAAACATACTGTACATAACAGTCTATACTACAGTATATACACTAATAGTGAATTTTGTAGGTAAGTTCAAACACACACACACATACACATACATACACACACACACACACACACACATACACATACATACATACGGTACATACATACATACATACACACACACACACACACACACACATACACATACATACACACACATACACATACACATACACATACATACACACACATACACACACACATACACACACACATACACACACATACACACACACATACACACACATACACACACATACACACACATACACACACATACACACACACATACACACACATACACACACATACACACACACACACACATACACATACATACACACACACACATACACATACACATACACATACACATACACATACATACACACACATACACACACACATACACACACACATACACACACATACACACACACATACACACACATACACACACATACACACACATACACACACATACACACACACATACACACACATACACACACATACACACACACACACACAGACATACATACAGTCTATACACAGTGTGTGTGTGTGTGTTGTGATTGTTTTGTTAGATAGAAATATCAGGTATTAAAGATTGAAAGGGAAAGCTCTCAATAGATATATATATATACAGTAGAGTATAGAAATATAACTGTTTTACTTGAGGGCTCAGGTAGTTAAAGCACACACACACACATACATACACATTACATAGACACACACACACCCAAACATATAAATGCATAAAATACATACATAAACACACACACACACACACACACATACATACATACATACATAGACCAACACATACACATACCTGTGTACTGCAAATAAAAATGCAATTAAAACAAACATAAAATATTTACAATAATTGCCACAAAAAAAATTAATTTTTTTTAACTATTTTTTTATTGTTGCAGAATCAGTATCACTATATACAGTATATACTGTATATATATATAATAAAAGTTATGTTATATTAATGTAATTCTACTGTATATTTGCTATTTATTTTTTAAACAAATACTATAAATATTATATATATATATATATATATATATATATAATTATATACAAATTTAATTAATTTGAAATTAACCACTAAAACAATTAATGTAATTACAATTTTATTTATTTTTTAGTTAGATTGTTGTTAATATATTTTTATAGATGTAATAATTAAATACAATTATATAATATAATAAAACTCAGTTAATATTATTATAATTATTATTATAAATTTTTAATTATTAAACAAATTTAAACATTTTTTTAACGTGCATTTATATTTTATAAAAATAACAAATTTAATTTTTAAAAATATTATTGTATGTTTTGTAATTGTAAACATGTTTTTTGTATGTAAAAAAATAATTTATATTTATTTATATTATTTATTTACAAAGTTATAAAATTGAATTTAAAAAAAAATAAAATTAACAAAATTTTTTTTTAATGAAAAACAAATTCTATTAAATTATACAAACATTAGAAAAATATTTATATTATATATTATATACATATATAAATCAATAAACAAATTTTGTTATTATATAATATAAATATAGTATATAAATTATATATATATATATATAATATTACTTCACAGACACTATATGTTAGACATGTCTATACATATATACTGTATATATAAACTAAAATAACTAAAATCCTATTACATAATAAATGTCACCAAAAAGTTATACAATAAAATAAATTGATTTAGAAATAAAAATAAAAAATTATCTAGTATAAGTTTTCAATGTATGTGTATGTATATGTGTGTTTATATGTGTGTATATATATGTGTGTGTATGTGTGTATATATGTGTGTATATATGTGTGTATATGTGTGTTTATATGTGTGTGTATATGTGTGTGTGTATGTGTGTGTATATGTGTGTGTATATGTGTGTGTATATATGTGTGTATATGTATGTGTATATATGTGTGTATGTGTTTATATCTGTGTGTATGTATGTATATATATATAATTACATAAAAAACTAAAAATAAGTTTTTTGCTGAAATTTTTTTTATATTGAAAAAATTATATTTATACTATTTCTATAAAAAAATTATATACAATATTTAGTGGTAATGTTTTTTTTCAATATACTAGTGGTATTATATATATATATATATATATATTTTTATACATCAATTTATAATTCATATCACACTTATATATATATATATATTATATTTACTGTAGATATTATTTGATTGACAATTCAATACATACAACAATAAAAACATTGATAGAAAAAAAATAAATTTATAAAATAAAATATAAATAAATAAAACTTAAATTTCTTAATATTGTTTGATAAATATAAGATTTATTAAGTTTACTGAAATAAATGGGTTTTTTTTAATAAATATTTTGAATCAATTATTTACAACAATTTATAGATTGAAAACTAACAATATATATATATATTATAATAATATGTATATTATTTTTATACAAATATTTGTAACTATAATATAAACTAAAATAAATTAATACTTGTAAACAGTTTTTTTATATATATAAATTTATTTTTGTGTAAATATTTTCAAACAATTATTTTTTTTATATTTGTCTGTATTTACATTATTTTTTTGTTAAATGTGTTAAAAATAAATTGACTCAAAAATTAATTTAATTGTTTGTTTAATTTATTTATAACAAAATGTTTTTTTTAAGATTTAAAAAAATATAAATAAACTATTGATGCAAAAAAATAATTTAATTAAATAAATATTATATTAATAGTTTTTTTAACTATTATGGCTGATATAATAGCTATTAGTGTATAATAATAATTTATTTTTATAATATAATACATATAGAGATAAACATTAAAAAACATCAAATTAACTAAAAATAATCAAAACTATGATTTTATGTATATATATATATATAATAAATATTGATTTAAATTTAAATTATTTGCTATTATTGTTAAATTAAATTATATATTATATATATTCAACTAAATTGACTTATTTTCAACATTATGTTAATATATATATATATATATATATATATATAATAGTGATATTAAATAAATAGTTTTTATATATATATATGTTTGTATGTACTCTAGTGTATCAAAAAAAATAAACAATTTTTGTTGTGAATTATATACTGAAAAAATATATTATTATATTTTAATCCAATAAACTATTTATTTTTTTTATGTATACAAATCTACTGTAAACATTTTAGTAGTACAGTCTATAAATGTTATTTTATTTTCAAAAAAAAATGTATATTAAAAAGCTAATAGTATTATTATTAAAAATATTAAAATAAATGCTATTTAGATGTAAAATATATATTATATATACAGTATATACTGTATATATATATGATATGTAAATAATAATCGTAAAATATAATATCTTTATATATATAAAAAAATTGTTTACATAAACTTTAT